AGAAAACATAAGCATAAAATATTAAACACAAACCAACAAGAACACAGTAATTTTAATCATGTAGTTACTCCTTTCAACCAGTTTTCCGGCGTTTTTTCATTTTAAGACGTGACAGTCTTCATATAGATTTCTTTCAAATAACTAAATGATTAACTCTATGATTTACTGACAGGAACGGCGAGAAAACATAAGCATAAAACATTAAACACAAATCAACAAGAACACAGTAATTTTACTTAAGAAGTTACTCATTTCAACCAGTTTCCCGGCGTTTTTTCATTTTTATAAGTGATAATCTTCATCCAGATTCCTATTAAAATAACTAAATGATTAATTCTTTGCTATTTAATAACAGGAACGACAAGAAAACAGGCTTAAGCCATTATACATAAACAACCAAGAAAACAGTTACTTTATTTAAGAAGTTAGTCCTTTCAACGAGTTTTCCAGCGTTTTTTAATTTTTTGAAGTGGCAATCTTCATCTAGATTCTTGTTAAAATAACTAAATTATTAACTCTTTGCCATTTAATAACAGGAACGGCGAGAAAACATAAGCATAAAAAATTACACACAAATCAACAATAACACAGTAATTTTACTGAAGAAGTTACTTTTTTCAACCGGTTTTCCAGCGTTTTTTGAAAATATAAAGAGGCGATCTTCTTCCAGATCCGTGCTCGAGAAAGTGATAATTTTAATGGAATTTATTCGCAAGAGTGTAAAACAAGCAAACAAACATAAAAGATTACAACTCGAACAAACAAGAGCACAGTGACTTGATTTCAGAAATTCTTTCAGTCAGTTTTCCATTTTTTTTTTGATGATGGAACAACATCAACTAGATCGACTAAATGATAAACCCATTATGGGTTAATTACTGAGTTACAGAGAAAATCCAGACTTCGCGTATTAAACACAAATGCCTTTGGCCCTTTCAGCTAGTTTTCAGCGTTTTTTAAGTATTTGTATGGATAATCTTCATCCATATTTGTTCTCGATCAGCTTTATGATAAATTCGTTGTGATTGAATCACAGAAAAATATAGAAAACCGATATAAAACATTAAACACGAACAATGAATAGCCCATGGTCTTAATTTCAAAGGTTTGGTCCTTTCAGCCACATTTTTGAGCGTTTTTGAAGATTTTTCAAAAATAAACTCCATCCAGATATGTTCTCGACAGACTAAATTATAAATTAATTGTATATTAATAACGGAAATTCTGAGTAAACAGATGTAAAACGGTAAACACTAACTTTGACAGATTTCTAGCTTTTTAAATTTTTTTTACAAAGATAATCTTCATCCAGATTCGTTCTCGATCAACTAAACGATAAATTCGTTTGATTGAATCACAGGAAAGTAGAGGAAACAGATATGAAACATAAAACATGAACGTACACCGATTTCCAGCTGCTTTTAAATTTTTAACGTTAAATTTATTGTGATGCATTCACAGGAAATCAAAAAATAAAACTAAACTAAAATAAAATACAATTTTAAACAAGAGCACAGTGACTTAACTTCAAAATTTCGTCCTTTCATTCATTTTCCAGCTTTTTTGAATTTTTGACAGATTGCATTAAGGCTGAATTGCAGGAAAACAAAGAAAACAGACATAAAATATTCAACAAGAACAAACCATACAACAGCGACTTAACGTCAGTTTTTAGACCATCCAGTCAATTTTCCAAATTTTTAATTTTTTGGAAAGACAGATTCATTCCTAGTCATATAAATGATAATTTCATCAAAAATTCAACACGAACAAACATAAAAACAGTTACTTAACTTGAGAGTTTTGGTCCTTTCAGCCAGTTTTCCAATTATTATTATTATTTTTTTCACAAAGTTAATCTTCATCCAGATTTGTTCTCGATCAATTAAATGAAGAATTCATTGTGATTGTATCTCAGGACAATATGAAAACAAAGAAAACACAAATAAAACATTAACAACGAACAAACAAGAACACAATGACTTAACTCTAGAGTTTAGTCCTTTCAGCCATTTTCATTTTCCAGCTTTTTAAATTTTTTTCGAAAGACAGATTCATGCTCAACCACATAAATGATAAATTCATTGCGATTGAATCCCAGGACTGTAGGAAAACGAAGAAAACACAAATAAAATATTAAATAGAGCAAACAAGAACACAGAGACTTAACTGTCGATTTTGGCCCTTTTAACCAGTTTTCCAGAGTTTTAGAATTTTTTGTCAAGACAGATTCATGCTCGATTAAATAAATGATAAATTCATTATGACTGAATCCCAAGAAAATAGCGAAAAGGCAGACATAAAACACTAAACATGAACGAACCAGAGCACACAATTAACTTCTGAGGTTTAGTCCTTCAGTCAGATTTCCCGCTTTTTTGTGTTCTTTCTAAAACCAGATTCATGCTCCATCAGCAACGTGATAAATTCATTGCGATTGAATGCCATAAATCTAATAAAACCTATCCAAAATCTTAAACAGGAACAAACAAAAACACACCGACTTAATGTCAAAGTTTAGTCCAGTCAATAAATTTTCTAGCTTTTTGGAAAGACTGATTCATGCTCAATTACATAAATAAGTTTATTCTAGATTGAATCGTAGGAAATCAGACGAAACACAGATTAAAAAAATTAAACACGTACAAACAGGAGCAAAGTGAATTAACTTCTGATGTTTGGTCCTTTCTGAGTTTTACAGTTTTTGTTAATTTCTCGCAAATATAGTCTTCATCATTGATCTAATATACGACAAATTAATTATAGATTGAATTACATAAAAACAAACANAGTAATTTAAAACAGTAACTTAGGACTTATGAAATTTGGTCCTTTCTGCCAGTTTTTCGGTTTTTTAATTTTTTTTTTTTTTTGGAAAGACAGATTCATACTCTACCTCGCAAATGATTCATTGTGATGAATCCTAGGACAACAGGAAAAAAAAACAAAACAATGTTAAAGAAGACAAACAAGAACACAGCGACTTAATTCCAGAATTTGGCCCTTTTTGCAAGTTTTACAGCTTTTTTTAAAATTTCTCGCAAATATAGTTATAGACTGAATTACATAAAACCAAAGAAAACATATATATAAAACTCTAACACGGACAAACTACAGTAATTTAAAACAGTAACTTATGACTTCAGAAATTTGGTCCTTTCTGACAGTTTTTCGGTTTTTTAATTTTTTTTTTGGAAAGACAGATTCATACGCAACCTCGCAAATGATTAATTTATTGTAATGAATCCTAGGACAACAGAAAAAAAAAAACCAAAAAAAAAAATGTTAAATAGGACTAACAAGAACACAGCGACTTAATTCCAGAATTTGGCCATTTTTGCAAAATTTACAGCTTTTTTTTAATTTCTCGCAAATGTTGTCTTCATCCTTGATCTAATAAACGATAAATTAATTATAGACTGAATTACTTAAAACCAAAGAAAACATAGATATAAAACTCTAACACGGACAAATAACCGTAACTTAAAACAGTAACTTATGACTTCAGAAATTTGGCCATTTTTTCAGTTTTTTTAAAAAATTTTTGGGAGAAATACAGATACATGCTCGATCAACATACACAGATTTCCAGCGTTTTTGAATTTTCAGCAATGAAAATCTGATAAATTTATTGTAATGCAATCGCAGGAATATAGAGAAAAATCACTCAAATAAACAAAAAATAGCCATCTTCACATAAATAGTATTCAATGGATTAAAAGATAATCTGAGGCTTCTATAATATTAAGGTTTAAAAAATAAGGATATAAATATTGTATAAGTTGAATGGAAATAAACAACTGAAATAGTCATTTTCGAAGAGACTAGATTAATTTTAATGATTGATTAATTAATTATTAATGGCAATGCATAAAGGATAGTAGATTAAAATAATTGTCCCGTTTTGTATAAGAAATATGAATAAATATGTTTATAGGTTTGACTTTTCTCTGTTAATCAGCAATGTTGGAAGGACTTCAGTCCAAATAGTTTCTTTCTACGTTTTAGATAAGCAATTCGAAGATATTTCTCCGATTTTTTATTGTGCATTGGTTTTAATTTTTTTGGTTTAGGTCAATACCTATGCAAATGACCCTCTACTTTCGCGGCAAATCCTCTTGAGGAACGCTGTAATTGCCTACTCGGGAATCATGCTGTTGCCCCTTTTATTTGCATTGTTCTTTTGATATTTCCCCTCCCCCGTCTCGTTATGCTTCCTGTTCACGCTCCAGATAAAATACGTCGCCCCGATTTAAAATAGAGAAACAATCGGGGAAAATTGAGCTGGGACAAGTGGCAACGCGCCTAAGAAATCTAAGAAGTCTAAGCAACAGTCTTTCAGGTTTTAATAATCGCGCCGATAGGTTTTCTGCCGGTTCGTTCAGAGAAATGTTCCCGAGGGGTTTTGTTCTCAATTTAAAGTCAGTACGGCGTGTTAGGTGTCCATTGTTGCGTGGGCGGGTCGTGCGGGTCATCTATTTTTGAGACATTCTGTACCGACAAAAGGCTTTTCTTTTTCAGAATGTCAGATCAAATCCGAAAAAGAACATAACGTTAATTCCCGGGGAAAACTTTTTCCATTTTAATCTTTAAATACTTTTTTTTACTATGGAGCGCAGATGCAATCGATCAAGCGAGAGCACCTGGCCCTCGGGACAGAATGGGTCTCATTGTTCCATGGACACACTGAGATGCTCTGCCTCTCGGTCGAGATAAACGAAAAGGCCTGCGTTTTCCTCTGAAACGGCAAACACTTTCTTTTCTAGTGATCGGAGGGGGGGGGAGGATAGAAGTAACGGCCCCAATTCGACAATAGAGATTAGAGATCGGTATTGTTCATCCATCAGAGTAGAAGGAAAAAATACCTGTAAGGGGAGAATGGAAGAATATTTCACTATACTTATTACTTTAGAATAAGAAAAAGCCTGAAATGTATATTTTCAGAAAAAACGGAATATTCAGTAGTAATTATAATGTGTTTGTTTTTGTGTTTGTTGCAGGAGTGAAGTGTAAAGAAGGCGGATGGAGACATGTGATGTTGTACGTTGAGCAGACATGTCCTCAACGCCCCAGTCTATAGTGGACGGGGCCGATACTCCAGCGGATCAGCAGACGAGGATGAGCCCGGAAGAGGAGACCTCTGCTTCACCTACAGCAGGGGCGATTCCAGGAGGAACGAGAGAGCAAGAGGAGCCGAGGATGTCGTCGCCACCGTCCGGGTCCAAGTTCCTTTCGGACCAGGGGGAGAAGACGACCGCTGAGGACTCCTGGGGAACGAGCGACGTCGAGAAATTCGACGGCAAGATCGTCTATAACCCCGACGGCTCAGCCTACATAATCGAGGATTCCGAGCTTAGCGAGGAGGACACGGAGCTGCCCCAACTGATAGGAGACGGGTGCATCGTCGATGGGAGAGGAATGGATTCGCAGTACCAAGTGTTTCCTCAGATCGCAAACGCATTCTACGTATCGAGAAACCCGTCCCTCCTCGCACAACTCTATCCGAGCAAACTCGTCCAAGAGAAGAAACTCATACCCGAGGTGCCGGTTATGCACAGTTATCGGGTGTTTACCGTAAGGGAGAAAACGTTAAGCGCTACTCAACAAAACAATACAGGGAAAGACTGTTCCTCAGTGCCAGTAAAGCCGATTTTGATGTGCTTTATCTGCAAGTTGTCTTTCGGCTATTCCAAGTCTTTCGTCGCTCACGCCATGGGCGATCATAACCTCGTTTTGCAAGATGAAGAAAAAGACATTCTCGGTCACAAAAACGCTTCGGCCATAATCCAGTGCGTCGGCAAGGAGAAGGAACCTCTAGTCTCGTTTCTGGAGCCGATGAGTCCTGCGCGACCCGTCACCGACCTCAGAAGAAGGGAGTTCGTCGAAGAGAAGGCGGAAGACCTAGCGCCGTCGAGAGTATCCCCAGAGCAGAAACAGGACAATTCGCAGAACGGCAACCAAAGGATAAGTTGTGGCATGGATTTGACTCGAAAATCTCCGGCAAACGAGATGTCGCCGGGAGCGAGTCCTTCGCCCAGTTCCAACATGAGCCCTCTCATGGGCATGTATCCGCAACATCCACCCAACTTCCTAACCGGGACGACGATTGGTGTCTGTCCCGATCACATGGGTGGACGCCCATCCGGCGTAGAATGTCCCAAATGCGAATTGATACTCACCTCGTCGAGACTGGGTGTCGGCGGTCCCCTAGCCGGCATGCACTCTCGAAACTCCTGTAAAACATTGAAATGTCCGAAATGTAACTGGCATTACAAATATCAAGAGACTTTAGAGATACATATGAAAGAAAAACACCCGGAGACTGAAACTTCCTGTATATACTGTATAGCCGGACAGCCTCATCCTCGGCTCGCAAGAGGCGAAACCTACACTTGCGGATATAAGCCGTATAGGTGCGAGGTGTGTAATTATTCCACAACGACGAAGGGAAATCTCAGCATCCACATGCAATCTGATAAACATTTAAACAACATGCAAGAGCTGCAGAACGGAGGGGTACAGTCGGAAATGCAGCAGCCCACTCCGCCGCCACAACACAAGCCTGGAGGGATGCCCAGTCCCGCTCACCACTCGCCCATTGCGCAAAACCAAAAACCTAAACCGACTTTTCGCTGCGACGTCTGTAACTACGAGACAAACGTCGCTAGAAACTTGCGAATTCACATGACATCGGAAAAACATACCCACAACATGATGGTTTTACAGCAGAACGTGAAACAGATGCAGACGTTTTCCGCGTTGCAGCAATCACACCAGCAGCAACTGAATTTCGAAGCGCTTCTGCACTTTCATCCGGGTCTGACCCTGCCAGGCGAGAAGCCGCCCCCGCACACCGAAGCGGCCTTGGCGGATATGGCTTACAACCAAGCCCTGCTCATTCAAATGATGACAGGAGGGCAACTTCCGCCCCATATACCACCAGAACTGGCTCCTCACATGGACATGGGTCTGAACCCGGAGACTATGGAACCACCTCCGGAACCCGCCGATCCCAATCCTGACCATCTCTTCCACTGTTGTGTGTGCAATAACTTTTCGACAGACTCGCTGGAAGCTCTGTCTCACCATCTCGCCGCCGACCGAACGAAAATCCGCGAACAGGAGATCCTAGCCTTAGTCGCCGGCCACTACGTCTGCAAACTGTGCACGTACAAGACAAACCTAAAGGCCAATTTCCAGCTTCACTGCAAAACTGACAAACACCTGCAGAGACTCCAGCACGTCAACCACGTCAAAGAAGGCGGACCGAGGAACGAATGGAAGCTTAAGTACGTCTCGTCTCCGGGCGGCGTCCAAGTCCGCTGTCACGCTTGCGATTACTACACCAACTCGGCCCACAAGCTCCAGCTCCACGCGGCCGGCCAGAGGCACGAGGCGTCCCAGCTCCTCTTCAGACATCTCAGAGAATCCGACAACGACAGTGTTCCTAAAGTGTTTCATTGTGTTTTGTGCGGTTTTTCATCCCGTGCGCGCCTACCACTTCTACAGCACGTCAGGTCCATGAAACATCTACAAATGGAACAGCTACACCAACTGCAGAGACGCTCCGAAGGAAAAGACCTACAGACCGACATTTCTGAAGTTTTTCAGGTCATTCCTCAACCGCAAGAAAACGATCCTGGTAAGCTTTGACTCAATATTCATTTCTTTAAACAATTTGAAGTTAACAAAGCGTCTGAACCGAATCATTTCGATACAAATCCCTATCGTGTACACTTGAATAAGTTCCAAAATATTTTTTACCGAAATTTTTATTGGAAAATGATTTTATAAATTATTGTAACCCGTTTACGTTTAATTACATGGAATTTTATTTAAAAATCTTCTTGAACAAGCAAAAGTTACTGTTTTTGTCAAAAAAATTCAAAATGCTCAATTTTATTGTCACGTAGAGATCTTTCTCGTTGAATTCTTACTTGATGATGATAGCTAATTTTTAAATCCACTGACTAATAAAAATTACGAGTGTGTAATTATTGTTAAATAATTTTTGGCTATTTAAAAAGAATTCTTGTCAAACGACAGCCTTGATAGAAATCCGGCTTGTACCGGCCCTGTTAAGATTTCAATGGGCCCACAATTTAAATAACTCGATAACTTCATACTGGCAAATCTAATCATCCATATTGAGCCATAAAAATAACCATAAACAATAAAAATCGAAGGGTTTCGGGCAAGAATGTGGAGGTGTCTTCAGCCGGCTTTGAGGGCGTTGACATTCCACAACGGTTTAAAGTTTTTGGACCGATTGATTTACAACTGGCTTTTACCTGTTTAGCCGGTCAAATCAAAGCGTCAAACGCTTTATATCCTTGATGTTGAGAATTGAGGATTAGAACAGACGCAGACAGGCGCCCTTGGCTCGATTCTCAACACCCTTTGGAAAATTTTACTTGTTATTTTTTCTTTTTTTTGTTTAAAGAAAAAATATGTTTATAGTAAAATACAGAAAATATACAGATAAATACGGTAAGAAATGTAGTAAATGAGCTTGTAAATGTCTGTTTTACAAAAAACCTCCTGTGGCTCGATTTAAAAAAAAATGTATTATTATACTAGAATCAATTAAAGCATCATGCATATTAGTACTTGATTAAAGCATTGTTAATTCAGCTTAATAGAGCTTTAGGGACCAATGAAGATTTTCCGGGAAATAATGAAAAATTAACCAAAATCGATGTAACCGAGATAAAAATTATTTACGCCTTGTCACGTTTTCCAAATTTTCCAAATGTTAATAAAATTTAATTGCAATTCGTCATATATAGGTACATTTTTTCATTCGTTGCAAGTATAAAATTTGAACATTTTAAATTTTTTGAAAGAAACAGGAGCTGCTTTTTAGATTTTTAAAAAATTTTTGGTATAAAATTTTCGTTTTGATATGTCGTGATAACTGTTCTTCTTTTTCTTTTTTTAAAATAATTGATTGAATCGTCTGTTTTCACTCGGTTACTGCAAATCTTCAAAATACTTTAAGCCCCGTGGGAGGACGATAAATTTTTCGCACTGGCGTAAAGTATAAATATACGGGACGTTCAGACGCTATGTTGGATAATCATAAAAATCTCCTTTGACACATTGCCATCCTTAAATTTTGAAGATCCGTCGCGTGTCTTCATAAACCTTCGGCCAAGTAATTAAGTAAGCTGGAATATTTTGATTTTGTTTAAATAAATTTAATTTTTGATGAGCGATTTTTTTTCGGTCGGAAGTCGGGCTTTTATGAAAACTTTCCATAACGCTTTAAATGTTTTAATAGAATTGGTGTTTAAAGGAGTAAGGGATCGGGTATTTTCATTGGACAGGAGGCGGTCCTTTACTTTCCAGGATGGAATCCCCCACCTAGGTCGCGTCTAATTAAATCTCCCAAGGATATCCTTTCACGTTTTATTAGAGGAGCTTTATTCCCGCGCTTTGTTATTTAGAATATTTTTTCATTGCAGATGCGGGTAAAGAGAAAAACGACAAGGAGAACGATAAAAGGGAAGAAGAGGAGCATAAGGAGTTGAACTGTTCCAATTGCAGCTTTTCCGCTCAGAACGAGCAGGTGTTGCAGCAGCACGTGCAGTCTCAGCACGCGCAGAAAGACTTCCTGTGTCCTCTCTGTCAGGAGGGTTTCAAAGACAAGACAGATCTTGAGACGCACGTCATGCAGATCCATTCTGTAAACTCAGAAGGCCTTCAGAGGCTCTTGATGCTCGTGGATCAGTCGCACTGGCTGAATCAAACTAGAGCGCCGAGCACGTCAGACTCGAAAGAGAGAGAAGAGGAAAAAGAAGAAGCGGAAGAGCCAGAAGACGAAAAGTGTCAAACCTGCAACAGGAGTTTCAAGAACATCGATGAACTCTGTTCCCATCAGAACGAGACCGGCCATCTGGAATTGAAACAGACTCCGAGCGGCCCAGGCTATCTCTGTTGGAAGAAAGGGTGCAATCAGTATTTTCAAACGGCCCATTCGTTGCAGATGCACTTTAGAGAGATACACGCGAGAGGGACTGGTCAGAACATGGCCGTTTCGGAAAAACACGTTTACAAATACAGGTGTAACCAATGCAGCCTGGCTTTCAAAACTATGGAAAAGCTTCAACTTCACTCTCAGTATCATTTAATAAGGGATGCCACTAAATGCGTGCTTTGCGGAAGAAGTTTTCGATCGATCCTCGCTCTTCATAAACACGTCGAGACCGCTCATTCCGACCTCTCGGAAGACGAGATGGCCGCTTACAAACAGAGCCTGATGAACAATCCTCTCCTCCTAGCTGGCATCAGCGGGCAGATACTCGACCCATCGACTAACGAGCTTCTCAAAAGAGAAACAATGAAAGGCGACGAAGAGATGGAGACGGACGAGGCAAAAGAACAAGACGAATCAGTGCCTCAACAGGAAGGTGATAACAGCGACGATTCCATTGTGTACAAAGAGCAACAGTTCCTAGAAGATTATTTAAACAGTCAAGCCATCGCCGAAGATTCCTACAACGATCCGGCGAGAAAGTACAAATGCCACAGGTGTAAAGTTGCATTCACGAGACAGTCTTATCTTACTAGCCACAACAAAACATTGCTCCACAGAAAAGGCGAAAAGTTGTCGTACCCCATGGAAAAGTATCTAGATCCGAACAGGCCTTACAAATGTGACGTTTGTAAAGAATCGTTCACGCAGAAGAATATTCTTCTCGTACATTACAACTCCGTGAGTCATTTGCATAAATTAAAGCGGGCAATGCAGGAACAACAACAATTACAGCAAAACAATAATAACAACAACGCGGTATCTCCACAAGTCGCAGCTGCTGCCGCTCTCGCGGCACAGCTCGGAGTGCCTCCTCCGCTAAAACCCACACAAGAAGAAGACGACAAGAAACCGTACAAGTGTAACATTTGTAAAGTTGCTTATACGCAGGGTTCGACGTTGGATATTCACATGAGGTCCGTATTGCATCAGACGAGGGCTTCGAAATTGCAGGACTTGGCGATTTCTGGTCAGATCGATCTCAGTAAGCCCCTCATCGAACAACCTGAACCGCAGAAAGCGCAGGATCAACACAAGAAGCTCATCCAGGATATTCTTGGCAGCTCTCCGAAACAGTTACTATCGTCTCCACCGTCCTCCGGTAGCTCACAGCTAACCGGATCATCGCCGGGATCTTCTGCACCGCCTCCGGCGGCTTCTACTCCGACCTCGGCACCTTCAGTTCCTACTAGTTTAACTAACACATCGAACTCTGTGATAGCCACATCGCCCAATTCCGGGATGTTGTCCTGCGGAAGGTGTAACGCTCTGTTCGTCAACCAAGAACAATTGAACACCCACCAGCAGCTTTACTGTCTTTTTAATAATCCCATGTCTATGTTCCCACCGTTGCCTACGCCCCCGTCCTCTTCGGCCAACCTCTCTTCGCCGCAGCCCAACAGCAGCAAAACTCCGCCTCCGATTCCGTTGACTCCGATGACACCGTCGAACGACGAGTCCTTCTCGAGGATTCCGCTCCCTACAAAAAAATCTTCTCAGATGTACAAACACCTCCTAGAAAGCTTCGGCTTCGACTTAGTTATGCAGTTTAATGAGAATCACCAAAGAAGGCAGAGGAAAGAGAGAGAAGAGACGGAAAAACTTCTATCCGAGATTACCTCGACCACTCAGCCGATTGAAGAGCAAGAAAAAGAAAAGCCTCCAGAAGAACTACCGGACCAACATCAACAGGAAGAGCAACAACATCAGCAACCCGAACAACAACAGCAGCTGCAACAGCCTGAAAAAGACAAAGTCGAAGTTAAAGTCGAAGAAGAACTCTTAGATCTTCCGGAAGTTGCCAAGTCTACGTGCCAACATTGTAATAAAGAGTTCTCCAGTGTCTGGGTGCTTAAAGCTCATTGTGAGGAGGTTCACAAAGACTTAGTTCCTTTGGACTTCTTAGAAAAGTACGCTCAACAGATAAAATGCGAATACGAGAAAAAAGGAGTTCCGTCTGGTGTCGTTTCTTCCACTACAGGCCAGGAGACAACACCCGAAAAATCTAACGACGAGGACAACAAAGACGCCCTTCAAGCTAAGCTCGCGTTGCAGCAACAAACGCCCGAGAACGTGACAGCGCCGTCGACACCGACCGCTTCTTCGACTCCCGCTTCGTCTACGGATTCTCTTCCTGCGACTCTGAGCCATTCTTTGGCAGCGGCAGTCGCGGGTATGAGTGGAAACGCGGCAAACATGGCTTTAGCACAACAAATGAACGAAATGCAAGCTGCTCTCAACGTAATGGCAGCTTCCCAGATCCAGCAGCAACTACAACAGTTCAATCCCATGATGATGGGTATGGCCGGACTTGGTATGGGACTGCCTTTGGGATTAAACATGCCGGCATTGGCCGCGATGAATCTTCAGCCTCCACTTGTACCCATGATGATGCCTCCTCCTTCTTTCGATTCCATGGTCGGAATGGGACAAAACCAACCCAATCTGTTCAATCCTCAGGGAATGGACGCGGCGGCCATGATAGCTAAACAACAAGCTTTAATGCAACAACAACAACAGCAAGTGGTAAGTAACGATTCAAAATTTTCCAACGCTCGAGTTCAAATCAGCGAATTTGAACAGAATTTTTGTTTGTTGCAGGCCAACGCACAGCAACAGAAGCGAGCTAGAACCAGGATCACAGATGATCAGCTGAAAATATTGCGTGCGCACTTTGACATAAACAATTCTCCTTCGGAAGAACAGATTAACGACATGGCGGCACAGAGCGGATTACCACCAAAAGTAATTAAACACTGGTTCAGAAACACTCTTTTCAAAGAGAGACAGAGAAATAAAGATTCGCCCTACAATTTCAACAACCCACCAAGTACAACGTTAAATTTAGAGGAGTATGAAAAAACAGGAGAGGCTAAAGTCACCCAGTTGACTCCTGAAGAACAACAAGCGGCCAGGGAACCGCCCAAGACGCCACAGCTGAAGCCGTCACCTTCGCCGATTCCTCCCTCGCCACAATCGATGCAGCAGAGTTTCAATCCGACGGATATGATCAAAACGGAGCCGAGGGATCACGAGAACGATACACACGAGGAGAAACCTCAATTCAATCACAATCCTATGCAGTCTCCTGTTAGTCCCAACGAACGTATGAACATAATTACCTCTCGAAACAATTCGCCGGAAAATCTGACTCTCACGTCTATAATTTCATCTCAATTAGGCCCGAATATGTCTCAAACCACTATGTCGTCGCCTCACCCAAACATGTTACCGCCGCCCAAGCTGACCCCGCCAAATTTTTCTACACCAAACCACCAGCAAATGTCCATGGTCAATTCCCAGGACTGCTTTACACACGCGATGATGGGCAACAACGGCGGGAATTCGGGCAGCTCCACGGGCAAGCGAGCCAATCGCACCCGTTTCACCGATTACCAAATCAAAGTTCTCCAAGAGTTCTTCGAAAACAACGCGTACCCAAAAGACGACGATTTGGAATACCTTTCAAAGCTTCTGAGCCTGAGTCCTAGGGTAATCGTCGTCTGGTTCCAGAACGCGAGACAAAAGGCAAGAAAAGTGTACGAAAACCAACCACCGGTCGAACTCTCGCCCGGCGTGGACGAAACTGGAGCCGGTAGATTTCAAAGGACCCCAGGTTTAAACTACCAGTGCAAAAAGTGCCTTTTGGTCTTTCAGAGATATTACGAATTGATTCGCCACCAGAAGACGCACTGCTTCAAGGAAGAAGACGCAAAAAGGTCGGCACAAGCGCAAGCTGCCGCGGCTCAGATAGCGGCGGTCCTCTCTTCTGAAGATTCTAACTCGAGCACTATCAACGAGCCGAATACTCAGCAAAGTTTGCCAGGTTTGTCTGGAAGCAATCCATCTACACCGAACGCTCCAGTGACACCGACTCCATCCCAAAACCTATTTCCTCCATCGCCCGTACCCAACTCTCAATCTTCGTCGGACGGAAAAGACAATTTCCAGTGTGATCATTGTAATTTAGTGTTCCCCAGGTTTGATCTATGGCGTGAACATCAACTAGTCCACATTATGAATCCTAATTTATTCCCCACTTACCCTCCTGACAGTCCATTTGGAATCCTTCAACAACACGCCCAATTACAGCAGCAACAACAACAGCAACAGCAACAGCAGCAGCAGCAACAGCAACAGTCGCAACAATTACAGACAAACCAACAACAGTCTAAACTTAATCAAGAACTGATAAATCCGAATACTCCTCACCCTTTGATTTCCATGCTGGCTGGACACAAGCGTAAATTTGACGAATTTGAAGAGAGCAATGAAAAAGAAGGCGAACAACCCAAAGACAAAAGACTCCGCACTACTATTTTACCCGAACAGCTGGATTATCTATATCAAAAATATCAGATTGAAAGCAACCCCTCTAGGAAAATGTTGGAAAGCATCGCTCACGAAGTCGGATTAAAGAAAAGGGTTGTTCAAGTCTGGTTCCAGAACACGCGAGCGAGAGAAAGGAAAGGCCAGTTCCGAGCGCATTCTCAAGTAATAAACAAGAGATGCCCTTTCTGCCCGGCATTGTTCAAAGTGAAATCCGCTCTTGAAAGCCATTTGACGACAAAACATGCAGATCAATGCAGCAGGGGTGAAATCAACATCGACGCCATTCCCGATGAAGAAGCCTCGTCAGGTGAGGGTTCGACATTTCAAGACAAGTTCAACAACATGATGCCACCTGTTTTTGCTCAGTTCTCAAACGACGTAGACGGCCAGTTGAAAAAGTATTACGAAGAATCCATGAAGAGATACATGAGCGAAGCCATGAACGGTAAAGACCTTTCTGATTTTGTCAACAAGAAAGACGGAGAGACGGGCGATTCTCCTTTGGATCTGAGCAAACCGGTCGATTTAAGCAGACCCATGAAACTCACCCTCGAGCACATGATGATGGACCAAGGGCCTTTAACTGACCTGAGCGAGAAGAGCCTTTGCGACGACGACAGCGTCTCTGAGTGTACCGACATCATGGAAGACGAGTCAAACCCGACATCACCTGCTTCGAGCACCCAGAGCCACCATCAAGTCAAAACAAAACGATTCCGCACACCAATGTCAACATTGCAAGTAAAACTAATGAAATCCCTGTTCAACGATTACAAAACGCCGACAATGGCCGAATGCGAGATGTTAGGTAGGGAGATCGGCCTGCAGAAACGTGTCATCCAAGTTTGGTTCCAGAACGCGAGGGCTAAGGAAAAGAAGTTCAAAGCCGCCCTTCAAAGCATGGGCGGCCAGCCGGAAGCCGACAGGCTACCTGAAGAGTGTAAATTCTGCCAGTTTAAATACTCCCACAAATACTCTGTGCAAGACCATATCTTCACGAAAAAACACATCGACATGGTCAAAAACTACTTGGAAGCGTCATTGTCTAAAGAATCCGAAGGAGACTTCTCTGTGCCGGCTACCCCCGGGGCCTCGGGAGAAAGCAACAACAACCACAGCACACAACAGCAGATGGCTCAGCTGCAGATGCTTCAGATGGCCGGACTATCTCTACCCCAGGCCCAGGCCATGGCCATGGCTGTGAAGATCGAAGGCAAAGAGGGAGGACAGCAGCCCAACCCCGAAGACCTGGCGTTGCTGCAGCAGCTCTACGGCGTCAGCAACTACCCACAAGGCTTCATTCACCCCGCACTGCTTTCAGCCACCGGTGAGTGTTCAATTCTATATATTTAAAAAACCACTCAATTATTTTTTTGCCCGAAATCATTTTTAAATTAAGTATAAATCTTCAGCCTTTTCAAGGTCCTCCATTTTATTTTTTCGTACATAACCCCCGCCATTTTATAATTTCAATACATTCTCCAGGCACATAAAAAAAACCATAAAAAAACACAATTAAATACAAAAGGGTGAAGCGTTTTTTCCCCTTTCCCCTCGATTCTATAAATTAAGGCCTTAGACCTCGCCAACCCCTCAGGGGTGGTTCTGAGGGATTAGCGTTTTTTTCTCCCCTTTCTTCTGGGGTCGAGACAATGTGATTCACATCCCCTCTCGCCCCCTTCTCCCAAATACAAAAGGGTGAGTTATGGTTTTTTTACATTATATATTTTTGTTGGGTGTTGCATGACCTGTACCAGGATGTCATCCTGCATCTCAAACCCAGCCCACATTCATAAAAATCCACATATTTTGGCGTCCTTTGATTTGTCTGTTTTAATTTTATTTTCGTTGGTTTTGCTTATATCGAATGCTTGTTTTATTTTGCATTTTTACATTTTTTCTCAGTATGTTTGTCTTTTATAGTTTAGTATTTTTTTTTTTATAGATGTGGCTTAAATCAGAAAAAAATTGGCTTATTTAATGTTATTTTAATTCGAAAACTTATTCAAGTTTATTCAGTCTATGACATTACATCTATCAAATAAATTTTGTTCTGAACTTTTCAACCATATATTGAAGAAAAAAAGGTCAAACGTATGAAGGTTAGGTATAGTTTGGGTGTTTCCGGACCCCCATGTCCCCGCCTAGTCTCGCTTTTTGATCTATCAGGACAAAACATGAAATCTAGGTCCAGGAAGACTGGTAAAGACCAGACTAAAAAATCTACCTCAAAGAGTCCAAGAAAAAAATTCTAACAAATTTTGTACAGGGCATTTGAAAATATTTAGATTTTTCAGATAATCCATTTTTGAATAATTTGATCTTAAGTACAGAAATCAGAGATTTGTCACCATTTTTAATTTTTCCAGTTTATTTGTTGAGGTCTTTTTTGAATTGTTAGACATCCGATGTTGTTTTTTTCCCAAAATTACCTTGTGTTTCGAGAATTTATCGACATTTGACTTTTTTAACCAAAAACTTAGTTTTTGTTTTTCTTTCAGTAAGATTGTCTTAATAATGTTTAAAACCCCCGATGCCATGATTCGCTGACTCGTTTCAACCTCCATAATGTTATTTTATCCTTTCTTAATTAAAAAACAAGATAATATTTCCAATAATCAGAGATTTATCAGAATTTTTAAGTTTTTAAGTTCCTATTTATGACGCCTTTCTACATTTAATCCTCTGGGGATAGTTTTCTTCCAAAAATTGCCTAATTTTTGCCATTTCTCTCTATTTGATCATTATGGATTTTTTTTAAACAGAAAAGTGATTTTTAATATTTTAACCAAAGTATTTTTCACCCCCCCCCGAAAAGTCATGACTCGCTGCCTCATGTCCTTTTGTTGTTATTTTTTTATTGAATTTTTTATGTTGATTGGATCATATTTCCTGTAATTAGAGATTTGTCAGCATTTTTGGTTGTTAAGTTCATTTTTTTTAATGTCCTTTTTCACCGTTTAATGTCTGGAGATCCTTTTCTTTCCAAAATTGCATCATTTTCGGTATTTCTCGCTATTTGATCATTATGAGATATTATGTGTTTTTTTTTGTTAACAGAAAAAATCATTAGTTAAAATCATTAAATATATTTTCATGGCCCAAATTCCGGGAAAGTCATGAATCGCTAACTCGTCCCATCCCCTGAGATGTTTTTGTTTTTAAATTAAATTTTTTAAAATCTTAATTGGATCATATCTCCTGTAATCAGAGATTTGCCAGCATTTTTGGTTTTTAAGTTCCATTTTTTAATGTCTGAACATACTTTTCTTCCCAAAATTGCATAATTTTTGATATTTCTCTCTATTTGATAATTATGAGATATACTTTTCTTGTGTGTTTTTTTGTTAACAGAAAAAATTATTAGTTTATTTTTTCTTTCCGTAAAATTGGAATTATACTAAATTAAGCAAATGGTTTTTCATGGCCCAACTTCCGGGAAAGTCATGAATCGCTTACTCTTCCCAACCCCTGAGATGTTTTTTGTTTTTAAATTAATTTTTTTAATCTTAATTCGATCATATCTCCTGTAATCAGAGATTTGCCAGCATTTTTGGTTTTTAAGTTCCCTTTTTTAATGTCGTTTTACACCGTTTAATGTGTGGACGTACTTTTCTTCCCAAAATTGCATAATTGTCGATATTTCTCTCTATTTGATCATTATGAGATATTTTGTGTGTTTTTTTTTGTTAACAGAAAAAAGAATTAGTTCATTTTTTCTTTTCGTAAAATTGGCATTATACTTCATTAAGCAAATGGTTTTTCATGGCCCAACTTCCGGGAAAGTCATGAATCGCTGACTCGTCCCATCCCCTGAGATTTTTGTTTTTAAATTAATTTTTTTTATCTTTATTGGATCATATCTCCTGTAATCAGAGATTTGCCAGCATTTTTGGTTTTTAAGTTCCTTTTTTTAATGTCTTTTTACATCGTTTAATATCTGGACTTACTTTTCTTCCCAAAATTGCATAATTTTCGATATTTCTCTCTAATTGATCATTATGAGATAATTAAGTGTGTTTTTTTTTATTTGACAGAAAAAAGAATTAGTTTATTTTTCTGTTTTTAAAATTGGCATTATACTACATTAAGCAAAGGGTTTTTCATGGCCCATCTTCCGAGAAAGTCATAAATCTCTGATTCGTTTCATCCCCTGAGATGTTATTTTCTCGGTTCATAATTTTTTAAATTAATTTGATGAATCTCCAGTATTCAGGGATTTGTCAGTATTTTTGGTTTTTGAGTTCCTTCTTTTGTGTCTTACATCGTTAAATGTCTGGAGTAAGTTTTCTTCCCCAAATTGCCTAATTTTTGGTTTTTCTCTGTATTTAGCTCAGAAGCTTAATGTTTTTTTTTAACGTAAAAGAGATTTAGTTTATTTTTTTCTTGTAGGCTTTATAATATTTTAAACAAGGGTTTTTCATGAACCCACCCCAAGAAAAGTTATGATGAGCTGACTCGTCCCTGAGATATTAGTATATTGGTTCAATATTTTAATGATCAATCCGATCATAACTGTAACAATTATAAAGTTAAGGCTCTTGTGTATGCTTTATGCTGTTAAGGAAGTTTTTTTTTTAAAGAATTTCCTGGGGAAAAAAACAACTTTCAATCTTTAAAGACAATACTTTTTATGAATCCACCCCCGCCCCTAAAGGCGAGTCATAATTCGCTGATTCGCTTCGACCCCGTCTATATTCACCCGGGCACCCCTCACCGCCCCCGAAATCATACTTGCGAGCGTACACACAAGTCGTAAAAAAAAGGAAAAAAAAATCCCCAAACGTCTCCCGTATTTTTTCATCAATCCTCTCCTCCCGAGCCCTTATCTCAGAGGCATCCCCAAGAGATCCGGGGGCAATATGAAGGGCGGAAATAAAGATATTAATATTGCAAGCCAATCCCACTTTTATTGCAACCCACCCCCCGATCGCAGGAAAGAGAAAGAAGGCAGAAGGCTGACGTGACTCCGTTACCGCATGCCACAATACACAATTATTTAATATTTTATTTTTAATTTCTATCATTTTCTTTTGTTTATTTTGATTTATGATTTTAATTTTTTTTATTTTTTTTCTCGGTTTTTTTAGGTACGTAACGAAGCCTTCGACAGTCTTATATACATATTCAAAAAAAGAAAGAAATCCATGTACATTTTATACATAGAAAGAAAAATTTATTTTATACAATTTTATACGTGTAAATATATATAAAAAAACTTTAATTTTTATATAATTACAGACAATAATTAATGTATATTTTTGTCCCTTTTTTTTGTTTAATCGAAAAAAAGAAAATGTTCCTATAGCTATATAATTTTTTTTTCTCTTTTACTATATGATAAAAAAAAGTTCCCTCGCCCAATTTATTAACTTTTCATTTTATTTTGTATATCTGTTTATATATTATGAGAAGTCTATTGTAAGTTTTGTTAAAAAGAGTCCCGAATTTTTGTATGATATTGTAAATCTTTAATACCCCGTATCGCCTTTCCTACTTTTTTTTTTTTGGTAGAAAATACCAGAAAGTGCTTTATTATCATATTGTTATCGGCCGTCGGCCGGAAAAATACGAATTTTAATAAAAAAATAATTATTCAAAAAAAAAGTTTTTATTTATTTTTTTTCCTCATCCGAAGCCTCGTTTCCCAGACGAGGAAGCAGGTATGGTTTTATTTTTTATTTTTTTTTAATTTTTGTGTATTTTGGCATGCGGATAACGGTAGTTTTTGTGTTGAAATGTTTGCTTGTATGTTTTGGGTATTGCATGTTTTTTTTAATTTCCAACAGGTGGTGGGTTATTATTAAAATAAATAAAATTGGTGCACTTTCAAGGCTGAATATTTATAAAATTACAGTGTAGTGTATATAGAGAGAAAAAAAAAATTTGTACATTTTAGAATTTTATACACCCGTTTTCATCCCCAGTCAATATATTTTTTTTTTATATATTTACCCCCTGAAGCTTCACACAAGCTCGCTAATTGGGGGGGGGGCCCTGCCGAAAGCCTATTGAATGGGGCCTCCTTTTATTTATTTTTTCCCTTTTCCTCTCCCTGCCTCCCTTGAACGTATCCATCAATGAGTGTCACGGAGGCAGGTATCCACCGAGGATTTTTACAACGTGTCGAATCCGACACCGGCCCTCTTTTAGACTTTTTTTTCTTCTCCTCCCTTTTTACCCCATTTGGCAAGACAAAAGCCCTGCGACACCTTTCCGCCCATTACGACTCCCTTTTGTACAATCTACAGATGCGCGAAAATCTCATTTTGGATTTTCGTTAACGCATTTCATACCTGATGGAGAAAATTCCATTTCCTTCACCCT